ATTATAGTATCTCTTTTTCGAAATTTTCAGTTACTTACTTTGACTGAACTTCCCTTGTGAATAGCGTATTCTATTGCACCTATATGAAGTTATTGTTTATCATCTATATGCTACGTTGTTGGGAGATAAAAACTTGTTTATTTCGTATTTTCCTATGAATCTTTATGATTACTGATACGGAATAAATCCATAAAATAGATTTTAGAAAAATGAATGCCATTTAAAAACTACAAGAGCTAGAGAGCTGAGCCTTTCGCCATATTGTAGAGGAGCCTCTGGGCTATCTCTTCCATAGTTTAGATATATAGATTCTTATGGAACTTGTAAAAACTATATCATTCTCTTTGAAAGATTCTTAATGATAAAACATTGAATCTGCGTGGATTTCCAGCAGGTCTTAATATATATATAGAGTACTCATTTACCTACAAAATAGTGAAAACCCCAGCTCTCTAACTCTTTCCGTCCTTGAGCTATTGCAAAAATACCCGAGTTCATTTTATTTTTGGACAGGCAGTAGTTCTTCTAGATGAAGTTAAGTTTCTTCATTAGTCCTTCAACTACTGAGCAATCGTTGGCAATAGATTTTTTTCTTTTAGTAAAGTTTGATTATTGCAAATTTCTTTGATATTAAATTTATTTCGATTCGATTGATCACTGCAATTTCACGACAAAAAAAATGAAACTTTTCTTTTTATGTATTATTTGATTCTACATCAGAATTAATATAATCAAAAAAAATATTTATCGAATGTCTATCATTTCTTTAATTTGATTAAATAATAATCAGAATGAATTATTTCAGATTATTCGGTTTCAGAAAATACTTTTGTGATTGTGTGTACAGTATCAATCATACTCTTGATACCTCTCATTTGTGGAGCCTTTTGAGTAGCATAATAGACTTCACTGTATCCCCACCAGTCCCAGCAACCCATTGGATTTGTTGGAAGCATTAATGATTTTCGAACTTGTGGAAAGATCATAATGATATCGTTTAATTCAGCTACTTCTAAATAACCGGCTTTTGTAGCAAAAACATCTCCAACAGCGTGTTTTCCTATAAGATTAGAAAAAAGAAAGAAATGAATTATTTGTCTAGATTCGTTGAAAAACTAAATAGATAAAAACCTTGTTGACATCCATGTAAGGCAACATGAATTGAGCATCTTTTACCATTGGCACATGCTGATGGAAAATAGATAAAACCTTCATCATCGAAGCTAGCTGAAGAACGACGTGTTGTTATTGATTTCTTGTTCGACAATTCTTTGGGTATTACTAAATTGAATAGACCTGAGTGTAACAAATTATAATGATGGTAGATGATTTATTTAAGTTGTTACTGCTGCAGCTTTTATTTTTTTTATTTGTGATCACAAAGAGAAACTGGGAGAATAGCGTTACCGCTATTCTCAGTGTATATAATGTTAACAACACTACTCCATTGTACAATTTTTCAGTTCTGTTCCAGTTCTACATTTTTCCAGTTCTACATTTTTCCAGTTCTGATATACAATACATTGCACTCGCTTTATATACGCGCGCACAAGGGAGAGAAAAGAATAGAAAATGATATAATAGGCATACGCACATTACTTAGGTTATGTTTAGAGACGCAATCACGTTACATAAAAGTAGATGGATAACCTTAAGAAAGAAACCAGATAGATTGATGAGAGTAACGAGTTATACAAGGCCTACGGCAGATTGCATAACACTCATCATAAGGTATTCCTCCTACCTAATACCGGGTCAGAGGAAATTCCAAAGAAATGGAAAAATGTAGAACTGGAACAGAACTGAAAAATGT